CTGCAAAGACTTGAGCATGCATACCTGGAGACGGTATCTCCCCGAAGCCAAGTAAACATCTACTTCAAGGACAGTGGTCGGTGGTGGTATCAGAGGGTAAGAATATTCACAAAAACTTTGTGAGCTTGATTGAGCAGTTTGAGTGACAATGTGGGACAACAGGAGTACAGACAAATCTTTAAAGAAAACTAGTAGGAATGGGAAATATAAAGACGTAAGTTTTTTAAAAAAATAGTACTTATTTTAACTGTATTCACTGACACAACAGACCAGTAACAACTACTTTTTAAAAATATTAAAAAAAAAACCTGCCATGCACTTACAGAATTACTTAACACAGAAAACAGTAAAATACACATTTTTCTTCTACAAACAAAACTAGTTTATAGCAAATTCTCTATTAATCATGGTCAATTTAAAATCCTTTACTTATATCTCCCCTCCCCACCCACTCAATGACTATATAATGCAAACTAATTTTATTATTACTGTAAGCAAAATATATACTAGAACTTCACAAAATGTACAAGACTTCACTATTTGAGGAACCAGGGTTAGAAAGCAGAAGCAGCTTTCAGGTATTCTAGTCATTCTTTCAATAAAGCACTTGCCATGAAAGAGAATACTCCAAACTATTGGGAAATTACTGGATTTGTTTGGTTGGATTTTCATTGTGTTGTTTTAAGCCTACTCCGTTTACCAAAATCTCAACTTGACCATTCTTAACAAGTATCTCGTTATAAAACTTGCTTTTCTGCCCTCAATGAATTATATGTAACAGATAGAGTCCTTTAATCTGGTTCAGTATTGATTACAGATTTATAAATGCTATTGTGAGCTACTGGAACATGTCGAGGCTTTTATCTTACCAGCCAAACTCAGAATGTTGGAATAGTCTCCCCTATCAAGTTTGCCCAACTTGTTCTTCTAATTTTGCTTCTACTGGTAATTTTCCCTGTCCCTCAAAGTAAAATAATCTACACTGGAGGGTCCTACTGGCACTTTGAGAGGAATGATAATTCCTGTACCAGGATGACCTATGCACTTAAATGCCATCAGAACCCCCCACCAACTAGGACAACCAAAAAAATCCCCCTTATGTCCCAACATCCTCTGGAAAGAGGGTTTACTGCCTCTGATTGAGAACCACTGACACAAGTTGGTTCTTTTGGCACTACTTTGATTGCTGAGGCATCAGTTCCTTCTCAATTCCTAGTTGTATCCTGGTTCCTTGAATTTGCTGGACTCATGACCATACAATAATGTGTAACAATAGTTAAGACAGGACTTTAGCACACGTTTTCAAATTGTACTTGAGGATCTATACACTGGGTCCTGTTTGGAAGTCATTTTACATATTTGGCTTTACTGTACAATTTCCTTTTCATGGTTAACATAAGTTTGAAAATTACTGTTTTAGCACAAAGCCGATGGCTCACTAGAAATATGAAATTCCTAAAATCTGAATAAAGCTGCTTCTTGAGTTAAATACTTCTACTTGTGCACTGTCTTAAATAAAGAATGTGGGGCAGCTTCAAAATCTCTAATAAATGCACTTCTATCAGCTAACAAAATCTGGTCTATCACTATAAAGTAAAAAGTTTCCTTTAAAAGCAGTAACACCCATGCAGATAGGACAAAGAAGCTAAAGTATCTCACACCTCCTGATCCTGCAGTGCAAAAATATTTTGCTTCATCCTTCTTGCCAGGGCCAAACATTTGTCTACAATAGAAAAAAAGCATTACTAATGGGCAATCATTAAGATTCTATACTTACCATAGTCCTTTAATAGGTGAACTAGTAAAACAGCACCCAACTGTGAAAAATTCAGGGAAACCTCCAATAATTGGTTAGTCTGACCTCCAAATTACAGGAAGCCTTCTAATCAGCAATTTAAAAATAATTCTTGCCCTAACCGGTTTGGTTCAGTGGATAGAGTGTTGGCCTGCAGACTCAAGAGTCCCAGGTTCGATTCCGGTCAAGGGCAAGTACCTTGGTTGCGGGCACATCCCCAGTGAGGAGTGTGCAGGAGGCAACTGATCGATGTTTCTCTCTCATTGATGTTTCTAACTCTCTATCCCTCTCTCTCCCTCTCTGTAAAAAATCAATAAAATATATAAAAAAATTAAAAAAATAATAATTCTTGCTCCTAAAATTTTGATTATTTCCTCTATTAGGAATATCATTATCACTGTGGTGGATAGGGAAGAGGTCAGAGGGAGGAAATCTGCCAATATTTACTCCAGACTCACAAATGTTTTTTAAAAGTTTCAAACATTTTGACAGACAAGTACCTCCACTGAATGTATGTTCTTCCTTTTCAGGAACTTCTGAACTTGCTATTTGAATTTCTGCAAATAGGCTCAAACATACAATTAAGGAGTTGATAATTTTAGACTATATGTATCAGAATTGTAACATTTTTAAAAAAATATGACCTAAAATTTCTTCAAAACACCTTAAAAACAGACTCCTAATTCAATTCACATCATCAGTACTAAACTTCTTTAAAAACAATTATGTCATAAAAGCAAAAGACAACGACTTTGACATTAAGTTTGAAAAGAGGTGTTTCATGTTCCAGTCCCATGCTGCCTCTTGAGATGAGAAAAAAAAGTCAGAAGAAACTCAGTTGTTATCAATGTGAATGAATAAACTTGGTGCATTCTCACGCTCCAAATGAGTAAACTTGAAAAGTCAAATTTTTGCTTTTAGGACTGGATTCTCGTTGAGTGTTGTACTACAAAAGCTTACGGATTAGGAGGATTTCTTGCTCTCACAAGAGCATCCCAATGTGGCTCGATTTCAGTTGTGGCGATCCTAAACAGGGCGTGGAGATGCTCATCTGTTAACGGCTGGCTCAGAGTGTGCTGGTTTCTAACCAAATATGAAAAAGCCTTTTCGCAGATTTCACTGCTATCAAACAAGGATGCCACCTTATAAGCAACCCCTTTGATAATCGGGTAAGTTTCAGCAGACAATCCAGCATAGAACTGTCCCAGGTCTTTGTTTCTGTATTCCTCCCAAAGGTCAGAATTTGCTTGAAGTTTTGTTAGCTCCATCCTTACTGCAATAGGTGCATGTTCAGCTTTAAAATTAAATGGATTTGCAAAGAGTTCTAAGTCCTTTTTAATGAACTTGAGGTCCTTGAAATGTCGATCAAATTCTTTTTGCAGGCGACAGATCACCACTTTGTACCTACCCGGATCAAGAATTTTGTCTTCTTCCTTAATATGCTGTTTAAGCTCATCAACGACTTCTCTCAAGGCAGCAAAGTGTGTGAGATTTTTTTCCTCAATATGTCTGTGCAGTAAATTCAGCTTAGCATCAAAGCTACTGATATGGTCAAATGCAGTAGCAGCAAAGACTCTATTGAATCGCAGTAGTTCACTGAGGTCTCGGAGGTGGTTCATAATATCCACCAAGAAGCCAAAATCACAGAGCCACTCTGGGTCTGAGAAATGGGCTGTTGTTGCCCCCACCGAAGCCAAGAACGCTTCGATCTCTCTCCTTAATGAAAATATTAGCTTTAAAGTCTTCCCTCTTCTCAGCCAATTGTTCAGACACCGTCCATTAACCCTTTCGCCATGCTCTGACTCCGATGAAGTTAGTAAAGCCTGGAATTCGGGTCGCCGGATGCCTCTTGTCTTAATCAACAGTATCCAGTCCGATACGGTACTAATGACCTGATTAACATCAACGTCGTAGGAGCTCAACAGCTCCAAGTGAAGGAATCCCGAGTAATGGATGACATTCCAACAGTTGGGGCTTACAGCCTTTTCTCGCATGTACGACACCAGTCCAGAGTTCTCACCAATCATCCGCAGGGTGTGGGTGGTGGTTAGTCCCACCATCCGCTGCAGGCTAAGCCCGGCCGTCTGCAGGGCCTCAAGGATTGCCGCCATGAGAGCACCAACACTGAAGTGATTCGTCAGGTTGATAATGGTCAGCAGCTCTTCCTGCACCTCCAAGTCCACGTCCACGCCGCGGACAAAAACCAGGAGATAGTTCTCATAGGCCACAAAGGCCTGGTCATCCAAGGCCAGGGAATAGGCTCGAAAATCCTTGGCTCGGTTAAAAAGCTGGCTGCGGAGGTTCTCGTTAATGTTCAGGACCCTCTGCCGGATGGTCTCTGGGGATAAATCAATGCCACCCAAGACGCCTACGTGGTCCGGCAGCACATCATTCAGCATCACCTCCAGGCACTGGTACACAAAGTCCCCCTCACCCCCGCCGCGACCCCTCAGGGCCAAGAGGCGGGCGATGCCGAGGCCTGCACGCGCCGCTCTCTCCTCGGGAGTGGGCGGGACCATCTCCGGAATGTCGCCCTGCCGCAGGCGCTCCACCAGGGCCTCGCGCTCGCCCTCCTCCACATACCGCTGGTAGTACCTGTGCTCGGCCTCGTAGTGGCGCCTGACGTCGCGTTCGCTAGCGGATACGACGAGGTGGGCGCAGACCAGGCAGCGGGCCCCTTCGCCCTCCGGCGGCTCCACCACCAAATAACGCTGGGTCCACTCGGGCCGGAACCCCCGAGCCTCCTCCACATCCATTTTGCTTCTCTTAGGTGTCATCCACATGATGCCGGAGGTTAGAAGAGCGGAGCGGATCTCCCGGAGGCTGCAAAGAGACAGGCGGAGTAGGAGCAAGCGCCAAACGCCACCTACGCTCTGCGCAAGATCACCCGAGTCGCGCGACACCCAGCTCCCGCTAGGGCATCTGCGTTCCGATTGGCCGAAAGAGTGGACAGTGATTTCTGTCGCGCAAGCGCAAATCCTTCTAGCTGCTGGGCGGAAGCTGCTTTAGGGCGGGACGAAGAGGCCCAGGAACCCCCGGACCTAAGGAACTTGACTGACGTCCAAACTGCCCAATCAATAGCTCCCTCGCTCGGAAACGGCGCTGCCGCTGGAAAGGGTGGGGGAGGGGGGCCGCGCCGCGTACACAGTGAAGGGAATAGCGTAAGCACGAAGCGCTGTAGTGATTGGCTGACGGCACGTCCAGTGAGCATCTCAACGTGACCTGGACTCTGGCGCCAAAATGTCGCTTGTAGCGGGCGTTATTCGGCGGCTGGACGAGACTGTGGTGAACCGCATCGCGGCAGGGGAAGTCATCCAGCGGCCGGCTAATGCCATCAAGGAGATGATCGAGAACTGGTACGGAGGGAGTCAAGCCGGGCCTCCTTAGAAGCTACGACTTAACGGGCCGCGCAGGGATGGTGCGGACACGCCTCCCTGCCCTCGGCGGCGGCGTGTACAGCGCATGCCCACAGTGGCGGAGGCTTTAAGGGTCCTGCCTTCTCGCTTCCCGCGCGCTGTCGCGATACTTTTCTAGGCTTTCGGGGGGCGCGCGCCGCGGGCTACGCAGTGTCGTTTTAATGGTGCCATTAACTAAAGGAATTGCCTCTCAAGTTAGAGTCGCAAAAGATGCAAGTTTTCGGTGGGGGAGAAACATCTCCTTTCTTCTTTTTCTTTTTTCTAGCATTTATTTATTTTTATTTTTTTATTGCTTAAAGTATTACAAAGAGCATTACATATGTCTCCTGCCCCCCCCGCCCCCAAACATCTCCTTTCATCCTTCATCTTATCAGTTACATGCTTATTCCAAAAAATCATGCACATTCAAGAGTACAAATTTTGAGTTCTATTAAAAATAGTCAAGATTTTAGGACAGGCTGATGACCTTTCTCTGGGTTTAACTTGTGATTTTCCTGTTGCCAAATTAGTGGTCCCACTTGGTGCTTTCCTGTCCTTTTATGGCGTATTCCGTGGATTCTGAAGTTTGGAAATGCCACACAATGTGGAGGGGAAAGGTTAAAAACATGGAAAGAAAGATGGTGTAAACTGTAAACCTCAAAAAAGACATGTTCCTAACATTGCGGAAGAACTTTGTGCTAAAGTCAATTGTTATTAGAGAAATCCATACCTTAAAAGAAAAAAAAATGCCCCAGCGAAGAAGGGCACGTTTAAAGGGATTTGTTGTGAAAACAAACTGCCCGGGAGAGCGGGACTGAAAGAACAGTGGGTCCGACAGGCCTGGCAAAGGCCAGGCGGGGATTAGGAGGCAGACAATAGCGGGAACAGGGAACCAGGGCGGGCTTCTCCGTTTGACTTTAATTCATAAAGGCTGGCTTGTGTCTGCAGTGTTGGAATGAACACTGAACATGCTGGGCCTGTTGTACTGTGCCAGGCAGAATCCTGTACAACAAAACTAAACATTAGTTCAGTAGCTTATCATTAATTCCATAAGCAGAGACTTTTTATGGATCCAGTTATGCTTTTTGTAATCGTCTAAAGCAGCGTTTCTCAACCTGTGGGTCGCGACCCCTTTGGGGGTCGAACGACCCTTTCACAGGAGTCGCCTAAGACCATCGGAAAACACATACATAATTACATATTGTTTTTGTGATTAATCACTATGCTTTAATTATGTTCAATTTGTCACAATGAAAATACATCCTGCATATCAGATATATACATGCCTCCCCCCAGGCAAGGCGCCCTCCTCCCCTCAGTGTCTGTGTCCATTGGTTCTGCTAATATGCGTGCATACAAGTCCTTTGGTTGCTCTCTAATCCCCCTTCCCCTGCCATTTGTCTCTGAATCTATTCTTGTTCATCAAATTATGTTGATCATTAGATCCCACATACGAGTGAGATCGTGTAATACTTAACTTTCTCCGACTGGCTCATTTCGCTTTGCATAATGCTGTCCGGTTCCATCTATGCTGTTACAAATGGTAACAGTTTCTTCTTTTTTATAGCAACGTAGTATTCCATTGTGTAGATGTATCACAGTTTTTTAATCCACGCATCTGCTGATGGGCACTTTCTAGTAGGTTGTTTCCAAATCTTAGCTATTGTAAATTGTGCTGCTATGAACATACAGTTATGCTCCTTTTAATATGTAAGTTAAGATGGCTAAACAACTTCAACTCAGGGGCTCCTGAGAAAGGTCTTTAAATAACGAATTGTCTTATTTCTAAAGTAAGGAATTTCTGTGTGAGGAATCCATAACTTACCTTTCTCACACAGCACCAGCCTAAGTCTGTTTTCTTTAGCAGGTGCTCTGTGCTTGTAGGCTATTCTCTGAAGGCACAGAATATTCATTAGCTTCTTAAAGAACTTTCTGCATTGCCATATTTTCTTTCCCCCAATATATATTTTCTGAAAGAAAAGGGAAAAGTGGAGAGAAACATGTAGAATTTTTAACGACATTTTAATAGAGTCATTTAGGAACCTGAGGCTCAATCAAGTTCAAGTAACAGATGGTTGAATTAGTAGAGAAGAGGGTAAGAAAGAGGCATGTGCTGAAGGGACCTACTTCTAACGTCACTTTCCTAGAGGAACAGAAATGGTGGTGAATATCCTATTGGAGTTGATGATTAGCCCCTTCTGCCTCTCCCCTTTCTCTAAACATAACAGTGTAGTCACAGAGCCTGTAAAACAAAGGGAAAACAGGGATCAGACAGTCTTATATTTATTTGGACTTTGTTTTTTATTCGTGGCTCATAGGAAAATTTATGCATTCAGGTAGTTACAGACTGATATTTCTTTTTCTGTTTGATTTGCCAGTTTAGATGCCAAATGCACAAGTATTCAAGTGGTTGTAAAAGAGGGAGGCCTGAAGTTGATTCAGATCCAAGACAATGGCACCGGCATCAGGGTAAGTAGAACCTCAGACTCAGAGGAGCAGGATGTTTGCGTGCTCGGTGAGATACCTGCAGGAAGTGGCAGAACCTTTCCCTGTTCTAGGAACTGGGCTTTAGTGGATGGGACTGTTTGACTGAAAAATGCAACAGCAACAATAATTGTTTATTGGTTCCTATTCTCTACTGGGCCCTGTGCAGGGGAATGAGGAGGTCAAAGGAGTGAGTCATGAGGCCATTTAAAGGATGAGTGTTCTGGGCAAAGAGAGCAGTACCTGCAAAAACCAGGAAATGGAAGCATGCCTGACATAGTTAAGGATCAGCAAGGAGGCCAGTGTGACTGGAACAGGAGATAAGATCTGAGGGATAAGCAGAATGTGGGCCTGTGGGCGGTTGTGAAATCTTTGGCTTTTACTCTGACTAAGGGGGAATGCTGTTAGAGGGTTTTGAGCAAAGAGATAACATGGTTTAGTGAGTTTTATAAGAATCTCTGGTCTATAATTTTTTACTACAATTAAATGTATCTGTAAAATACATCTAGATTTTTACTAAAGAAGTTTTATAAAAACTGGTAATCTTTTTTTAAAAATATATTTTATTGATTTTTTACAGAGTGGAAGGGAGAGGGAGGGATAAAGTTAGAAACATTGATGAGAGAGAAACATCAATCAGCTGCCTCCTGCACGCCCCCAAATGGGGATGTACCCGCAACCCAGGTACATGCCCTTGACCGGAATTGAACCTGGGACCCTTCAGTCCACAGGCCAACGCTCTATCCAGTGAGCCAAACCGGTTAGGGCAAAACTGGTAATCTTTATAAAATCCATGAGACAGGATAAGATTGTCAAGAGAGAGTGTGCAGGTAGAGCAGAGGGCCAAGGGAGGTGTGCTGGGTTACTCCACTGTTAGGGAGTAACAGAACCCAGCAAATGAGACAGAAATGAGACCAGGGAGGAGGAAGGAGCACCAGGCCAGTGTGGTGTTCTGGGTGCCAAGTGAGCAAGTTACTGCTCATTTAGAAACTCTTCGCCTCAGAGGAACATCTTCTTGGATTCATTCAAGAAGAGGGAGATTCAAAAGGATTTCGAAAAAAATGAGTAATATAATAATATACTTATTTTTTGGTATCTTCTAGAAAGAAGACCTAGATATTGTATGTGAGAGGTTCACTACAAGTAAACTTCAGTCCTTTGAGGATTTAGCTAATATTTCTACCTATGGCTTTCGCGGTGAGGTAAGCTAAGGGTTCAATAAATGTGTGAGCTATCCGCCTGTGATGACATTTCTTCCATATGTCAGCATGTTTCTCGGTAGATAAACAAGATATGATACTATTTACTTGTTAGATAAAAGTAAATCTAAACAAACTTAAATTCAATTTGCCAGAACTGAGATTTGTTTATAAATATTTAATATACCATAGACTTTATCTATAGGGACCCCTGTGACATTATGTATTTCTTGATGGAGGAATGAAATACCACCTACAAAGGCTTCCTGTCCAAAAATAAAATGGGACTCTGATCAGTAGTTAAATTCAAGTACCAATACACAGAAAATACAGGGGGCAAAGGAGCACAGTAAATGATCCTGAGGTTGGGAAAGACATGATAAAAGACTTGTTTCCTTCGACAAATAAACTGCAAAGAAAAGTAGAGAAGGAGCAGGAACCTGTAGATGACAAGAGATTTAAGAGCCACATGAACCATCTCCAAAGTATAGCCCTTCCTTGGATTCTGACTTGAGCAAAAGTGTGAAATTTTTTTGAGGCACAGATATTTGAACACAGATTGGTTATTTGACAGTATTAAGAAATTATTGTTAATTTGCTTGGTTTAAAAATGGCGTCATGGGTTATTTTTGAGTCCTTATCTTTTAAGATATATACTGAAATCTATGTGGATGAAATTATATGATGTAGCATTGGAATATATGTTATAGAAAATAGACAAAAATATCTTTGAGACTACCATAGTATCTTACTTTTTTTTTTCCCTTCCCCTCCCCGCCCTGCCTCCCCAGCATCTTATATTTTTATGACGACATTCTGTGGATATGTTTTCATTCATAGACCTACATAAAATTGAATGACTACATAGTATTCTATTACATGTATATACTGTGGTCTATTCAGATGGTTTCTTTTTGAATGTTTATGCCCTTTGCTACTTTTTCCTGTGTAATGCTCTGTGACTATTCATGTGCATACACTGTGTTTTATTCAGTTATTTCCTTAGGGTATATTTATAGAGATAACATTCATAAGTAAAATATGTATACACTTCAAACACATTGCATTACATTCCTTAGGGTATATTTATAGAGATAGCATTCATAAGTAAAATATGTATATTTTTCAAACACATTGTGTTACATTCCTGTTGCTGCTTAGTGGCTTAAAACAACACAGTTGTTATCTTACAATTCTGGAGGTCAGAAGAGGGTGGCACTCGGTCCCAATTCAAGTGTTGGCAGGGCTGTATTCCTTTCTGGAGGTGCTAGGGTACCAAGAAGTTGTTGTGGAGTAGTTATCTGGGGGAGGAGAATTAGTTTTCCAGTTTTCGTATGTGCATGTATTCTATTTAATTTTTTAAAATTAAAAGGCAACCGTGACCCAGTCACTGTAATTTAGGTCAAACCAGAGTGCTCCCAAGCACCCTCTGGCTCACGGAGAGCCTGAATTGTTACAGGCAAGGGCAGTGTTAGGGTAACGACCCTGGGGCTTCCCTGATTTTAAGTATATGCCTCAGATCGAGTTCTAGCAAAGCAGTTTCCTTCTGGCTTTGCAATTTCCTGGGTCAGTTTCTAAGCCCATGACCTCCTGGCACCTCTGCCTAGCTGTAGGGTATCTTTGGGTTGTTATTTCACTGTAATTACAGAAGAAAATTTATTGAGGGATTTCTGGGTGCCACCCTGGTTCTCCGCACTTTGTACATATTAACTCTTTTACTCTTGACCGCTCTGCAGGGGGGTTCTGTTATTACCCTGCTTTACATGCGAGGAAACGGACACGGAGTTTGGAACCCTGCGAGTTTGACTCCAGTGCCTGTGTTCCTCTCTAGCGGCTCCAGTGCCAGTATAAAGGGTCCCTCTGCCAGTGGCACCCTCTCTCCCTGGCGTTATGTAGTATTGTAGTCCCATGTATATGCAATGTCCTTCCTTACACAGGTCTCAGAATTATTTTTAATAATGCAAATTAGCTCAACTACATAAACCAGAGAAATTCTCTGAGCCTGAGCCGTATTCCTTATTAATGAACCAAACCTGCCATGGGCTACACTCACTGCCTCCTGAGATGCTGTCACACAGACGCCTCACAGCGCCTGGTTGCATTTTTATATGCTATGATATCCTCGTGAAAGAGATACAGCCCTAGACGGTTTGGGTCAGTGGATAGACCGTCAGCCCATGGACTGAAGGGTCCTGGGTTCAGTTCCGGTCAAGGGCACATACCTCGGTTTCAGGCTCAATCCTCGGCCCTGGTTGGGGCCCACAGCCAGTCCATGTGCCTCTCTCACATCGACGTTTCTCTGCCTGTCTCTCTCTCTCTCTCTCTCTCTCTCTCTCTCTCTCTCGCCCTTTCACTCTCTCTCAAAATCAATGGAAAAATATCCTCAGGTAAGGATTAACAAAAAAAGAAAAAAAAGAAAGAAGATAAAGATTTCAAAGGGAGAAACCAATCTTGATTATAAAGGGGAAAAATTGGTCATTTTTAATTTGTTTTGTCTTAATTGCATAATTTTAAATTTATATTTCTAAACATGTAATTGCTTACAGAAATTTTGAAAAATGTGTACAATATGACCTATTTGGAGTGACTCTGATATCCATTTTTGAAGTTCAGGCTTTAAAATTTTTAGAAGACAAATCACTGAGAATATTTAACATGTTCTACATCTAAACAGAATTGCTATTTATACATTAATTATTTGGTGTTCCTTTTGGACTTTTTAAAAAATATATATTTTATTGATTTTTTACAGAGAGGAAGGGAGAGGGATAGAGAGTTAGAAACATTGATGAGAAAGAAACATCGATCAGCTGCCTCATACACACTCCCCACTGGGGATGTGCCCGCAACCAAGGTACATGCCCTTGACCAGTATCGAACCTGGGACCCTTCAGTCCGCAGGCCGACACTCTATCCACTGAGCCAAACTGGTCAGGGTCCTTTTGGACTTTTAATATATTTTCCCTGGTGTTAGTAATTATGCTACAGATTCAATTTGATACCCTTCTTTGTTTTTAAAACATGTTATCAAAATGAGTGAACAGGGTACGCATTGTTGCCATGCTGATACAGAGTGGAAGAGGCAGTGTCAATAGCCTTTCCCTTAATGATGTGGCAGGATTGACTCAGCAGTGAATTTTTTTCATTCCATTTCCTTTTCATCCTAGGCTTTGGCCAGCATAAGCCACGTGGCTCACGTTACTATCACAACCAAAACAGCTGATGGGAAGTGCGCGTACAGGTACAGCGCTGTCTTCTTTTTTCATTGATGTTCACCCAGAGGTGTACTTTACAGCTGCATCTCAAAGTAATCCCATCTACACAGCCATGTTACCTTTTGTGGCTGAGCTCTTGGGTAAATTTTCTCGCCTCCCTTTGGATTAGGGAAGGTTATTAGATAATAATCTTATTTGAAGATAAGATGTGACATATCACATGTGTCTGGCAAGCTGTCTATTACATAGACATATTCTAAGTGGTAGGGTATTGCTTTGAGCTGACTGCAGGGCTGCGGCTGGGGTGCTGGAGGCTCCTGGTTGCCCAGCTGGCTCGGGAGCCACCACTCCCTGCCACACGTGCATGCCTGGGCTGGCATGCCTTCTTGTGGGTGCCGCCGATCTTCTGTCCTGCTGGCACAGTTTTCAGAAACTGATGAACGGCCTTGGAACAGAACAAAAACAGGATTCAAGGAATCAGAATCACATCTTTGTTTTTTTTTTAGGTTCTGGCCACTCACTGGTGGGCAGTTCTGCCTGTTTCTCGGTCCCTTGAGCAGACAGATGTGTGAAGTAGAGGGGGGTAGAGCATTTCAGCGTATCCAGCACTGATGCTAGAGGAATTTGACTCTGAATATAACTGCCCTAGGACCTGGGTGGAGGAGGGCTGATAGGATTAGAATCCCTCCTCACAAAATGGGGAGCCTGAGGCACAACTTCTGTTCCTTCATCTCTGGGGCGTGTTTGCCCCTGCTCAGGACCTCCATTGGCTCCCATTCTGGGGCAGGATGAAATCCAGTCATCATCATGGCAGCCAGCGCCCTCCTAATGTGCTCTCAGTCCACCTTCCAGCCCCTCTCCACACATCCCCCACTCCCGTGTTTTCTAAAGCCTCTGTTTTTCTCTTCCTGGGTTATCTTCCCTGACCTCTCCTCCTGAAACTTACTCCTCCCAGAGTCCAGGTGAGTTGTCACCTCTTCTGTGACACTTCCACCTGCCCCCATTCTCACCCCAGGCTGGCTGTCTTCTTCTCTAGGTCACTTAGCCCGTTGTTCTCCCCTTTTGGTAAAAGTCGGTGCCCTCACTAGATCAAGAGCTTTCTAAGGCCTGTCTTTGTTGCCGGGGTCTCTGCAGACCTGGTACATGGTAGCCCCTCAATAAATGATAGCAGAATTACTGAAAAAAATTGACTGTCATCTTAGGCACTGGCAAAACTATTCTTTATAGCTCAAAACTCAAGAACTAAAAAGCAACATTTGCTAAAAGAAAAGGGATATATACACTTTTTTGGTATCCATTTGGAATGATTATGGCAGTAGTGGAAAAATAAAGAAATGGTTATTAAGAAAATATATAACATGGCTATATTTTAATGTGTCATTGGCATAATGTTCTTTTTTCTCTGTTGGATGAGTAAGTATCTCTTCTGCTTCTATTGGATGTTTATAATCTGTTTTATTTTCTGTTTAGAGCAAGTTACTCCGATGGAAAACTGAAAGCTCCTCCTAAGCCATGTGCAGGCAATCAGGGGACCCAGATCACGGTGAGAATAGGACACAGGAGGGGGATTATTGGAAAAGAATTCATATAAATATTGAAATAAAATTGCCTCTGACTTTCTAAATAACAGCAAAATGCATCTCTGCTAGTTAATAGAGACCCCAGGATATCACCCTCTACACAAGATCAATGATTATTGGCTTTTGTCCACCCCCTCATCTTTTTTAAGCTGGGAGCTTCTTTTCTTAGGATGGCAGGGCAGTTGGCATTGGAAGAACCTTGAGCTTGGCTCCAGAAGAGGTCAGAGTCCCAGCCTTTCCTTCAGTGGTTGTGTGTCCACAGTCACGTCATTTACTGTCCCTTCACCTCACTTTTCTCATCTAGCCAGGGGAGTAAAGAATACCGGCCCACTCAGAGGGAGTTGGAGTAATTTGAGTGTGTCATCAGGAGAAAGTCCATGATGCTGCCCTATTTCTATGATGCCACATGTGGGCTCTTCCCATTCTGTGGTTCTGTAAAGCATCCCACTGCCATGCATCCCACCTCCAGCCTCCAGCCCCAGCTAGAGCACAGCTCCCTGGAGACGCCACGTCCTGGGCTCGATGAGGCAGGAGGCAGAGTGGTTCGTGTTAACAGGGATTCACTCTCAGGTGACTGCGTTGTGATGTCTAAGAACCCCGAATGAGCTTAGAAATGGTGTAATTATTCTTAGTTCAAAAATGTTTGAATGCCGTGTGATCTTATAATTATCTGTAAATTTATGTTTGCCCCATAAATCTTGTGCGATTCTGGGCAGGTCTGTGCATTATTTGTCTTCATATTCCCAGTACAAAGCGAAGGGCCTGACTTAGAGCTAAGCCCCAGTACCTGTTAGAGAACTCAGCGAGTGAAAGTGGGAGGCAGGAAAATAATGCCTAATTTCCTTTGTTAAGGCTGCCCCGGGCTGTCGGTAAACAGTAGGATTCTCTGCCTTAACACCCAGCTATAGGTGGACTGCTTGGTGCTTTATGTCCACATCTGTGAATTTACAAGAAAGCTCAATCTTCTGTTCAGGTGGAGGACCTTTTTTACAACATTTCCACCAGGAGGAAAGCTTTAAAAAATCCAAGTGAAGAGTATGGGAAGATTCTGGAAGTTGTTGGCAGGTACAGTTCAGTCTCTGAGATCTCACCAGAGGGCTGGGCTCCCATGCTTGTGAACTGAAGACAGCTGCTGGGCTGGGAAACAGCCGTCCTGGCTGCAGAATGTTGCAGGCCAAGGCTTAGTCGCTAATTCTGGCTTTTCTCTCACGTCCCCAGGAGAGAGCAGTTGGTGTCTGTATCGGTGGGGATTCTTTGGTGACAAGCAAAACAGGCTGACTGGCTAACTGGAGCCCAGAATAAATTTTTTTTTTCTCCCCCTGCACCCACCCCCTCTCCCCTCCTCTCTGAGCCCAGAATAAATTTATTGGAAGGCTGGGAGTGACTCACCGAGCGGGAGAAGCGTGGCCAGCTGCTGCTCGGGGAGGACAAGAACCAGGGTGGCTTCGGCCATCTCATGTCATGACCCTGTTTCAGTTGCTTTCATTCTGTTCTTGGTTCTGCTCAGAGGTCTCTTTCCCGGGAGGGCATCTGGTTGGTGTAGCCTGGGTCCCCCATCATGTCCCATGTCCCTGGGGAGAAGATATCCTGATTGGCAGTCTGAGGCTGGGGAAGGGGTAGTGTCCCACAGGGAGACTAGGGACTGTTAACAGAAGAAGGTGAAGGGATTCCAGGCAAGAGAAACAACGTTACGATAGACTTAATCTGCTGGCACAGTGGCCCCAGCATGGGCTCGCTGAGCCTGCATTTCCTTGGATTATAACAGACATGTTAACTACTTTGCAGCATTTCTGAAAAATCAAAAATGAATAAAACATTTGCCCCTAATAAAGTGGAACGGACCCAGACATCAAGGTTCTTTACTATTCCCTGGAATTGTCTGAGTCAGTGTCAGAATATTCATTATCTCCTGGAAGTAAAAGAGCTCTAGTGGGTGGTTAGGGGCCGAGGTGCGGTAGAGATAATTATTCGTTGTTATTGAATTAGTGCATTTTATTAGACATAACCCTTCGTGGGGCAGGTGGGGGCGGAGTGATGACTAACGGCTGGGAGGAGAGGCTGGGAGACACTGGCGTAGGACGTCGGGTTGGGGAAGATGTGGGTGAGGAGCGGTGTAATGGGAGGCTCTGAGCGAGAGTAAAAGAGTGCAGGGCTGTTAAGCTGAGTTCTCAAGCTGTCCTTGAGGCAACCCAGACCTTTTGAGTTTATGAGAATAAACTAGGCAAGGAGGAAATTGTACTGAGATAGCCCTGGGTCTGGTCAGCAGCCTAGAAATGCAGAGTGGAACCCTGTCTTCTGTTGCATCAGCCACATTTAGCACTGCTAGCTCCGTGAAGGGTCTGCTGGCTTACTGTCCTGTGGCTAAAATAAGACACATGATGTTTCCCTTTGTGTCTATCTTTGTTTACATCACTGACTGACTCCATCAATGTATGAACTGAAAGGGGGCTCTGACATGCCTGGTGCACTTGGCCACTCTGCTTACTGTTTTGTTTTTCTCCTTGCCAGGTATTCAATACACAATTCAGGCATCAGTTTCTCAGTTAAAAAAGTAAGTTCTTATTTCATAGGGGATAGTTACGTATTATACAGGGAAAATGGCTTTTTATGGTTTGCCCTTGGAGGTGGGGTTACACTGTTGCCATCACAGCTGGGAGACAGCCAGTCACATGTATCGTCTGTTTCCCAGCCAGGTGAG